TGTCTCTGTACTGTTTGTGCAATGACTTGTGCCCAAAGTGTGTGTCGCTGAAAACTGAATCTATAACTGCAGTCAGCTGCTACTGCTGCTGCTGCAGCTGAATGTCCTCTCTTTTCTCTGCTGCCTTGCCGTCACTTTGATTAATTAGCTTGAATTGATAATCATCCTTGCGATGTTCTCTGTTTCAGAGTGGACACAACTGGCGGTAGCCGCCGTCGTCTCGGTACGTCTGTAGTCTGGCATTTGAGCAGAGTCGGTCTGATGATACAAAGTTGCAAACACACACTCACACATTTCAGTGATGAAGCATCATTGGCACCTGTGCACTGGTGGCCAATTCAGGTTCGTCGATTCCTCCCGTCTCACCTGTGTGTCCTGCCTCGTCCGACCAGTGATGCGTTTCAGCGAGGCGCCAGAAGGCAAAGTCTTGAGTCAATTAGCTTTTGCGTGTTAGCTATTTAAAAGCGGACCACAGTCACTTGCCAGCAACTCATTCACCTTTCAGCAGACACTGCAAACACTACCAACAAGTTCGTTCACAATGAAGTCCATCACACTTACTGTGCTCTCCATCCTCTTGGTTTTCTCGCNCCTGTGTGTCCTGCCTCGTCCGACCAGTGATGCGTTTCAGCGAGGCGCCAGAAGGCAAAGTCTTGAGTCAATTAGCTTTTGCGTGTTAGCTATTTAAAAGCGGACCACAGTCACTTGCCAGCAACTCATTCACCTTTCAGCAGACACTGCAAACACTACCAACAAGTTCGTTCACAATGAAGTCCATCACACTTACTGTGCTCTCCATCCTCTTGGTTTTCTCGCTGCTCAGCTACGTTTTGGCCGATGATGGCAGCAGCATCTCGCAGTCCATTTCTCAGACGGCTGATAAAATCTCCAAATCTGCTGGAGAGACGTACGAAAAGGCAAAGACCGCCGCTCAGGACGCAGCCTCATCGGCGAGAGACTCCTTTAATAAAGGCCTCGACAAGCTGAACGAAAGTGGCAAGGAAGCCGTGGACAGACTGAAGAAGCTGATCCCTGGCAAAAAATGACCAATGGCAAGTTCTCTCTGTACCGAAGCGGCTGATGAAAAACCCCGGAGTTTATTGAATTAAATTCTTTTTTCATTTTTATTTCTCTTTCTTTTGCATCAAGTACAAATCATTGTGCTTTTTCCATTAACAAACATTTCAAACAAGGTGCACGCAATTGTCTTTGTCACGTAAGGCGTTAATTGTCGTGCTGTTTTTCATTGAATCAATTTTAATAAACTGTTGCACTGCTAATTGTCAATCACTCTCTGAAGTGAAAGTGGTGCCTCTTCTTCATGATTGATGGCCTCGAGGCTCACGTCTATGACGCAAACATAAATTTTTTGTTTTTCGTTTTTTAAAAATGGTCTTCTATTTTAACCTAATGTTACTTTGTTTTGCTACATTTTTTTCTGACCGATAACATTTGCCGCGCGCTCGTCAGTTTCAGCCGGTGCATATTTCTCTGTACCGTTGACCAACTCATCATGTCGGGCTCTTTTGATCCTCGATCCTCTCAATTTAACAGATCTACGCAATCCCAAAACACTCGCCCTTCACAGTCCAGCCAAAATGAACAAGACGGCGATGCCGAAGGAGATGTCTTGCTATCGATGATCCTGAAATCTAAAGGACTTCTCGTGCCAATGACGAAAACGTTCTTTCAAAACAACCTCAAGTTTGAGACACCGCTTGATGATAACATGAAAGATTCTCTCAAGAAGCACATGGTTTCTTTTCTCGTGTACGAGAATCAACTGAAAATGCAGCAGAATGCTTTTAGCCAACTTGAAATTCATGTATGCCAATTCATTTGATTTTATTCAAAACAAAAACACTTATGTTTACTCCTCTTACAGGCTCAAGGTCTCAGTCAAAATGTATCAAATGACCAGGAAATCGATGATATGCTTGCAGCAGCAGATCTTGACAAGAGATATAAAGATGTCATGACTCAGCTTGAAGAGTCGGATGACTTTGACCCCACTGAAGATAAACAATTTAAAGATTTGCTCAACCTGCTAACTGAGGAAAACAATAACTTCGACGATAATGACATTGAAATGTTGGAAACAGAGTTTACCATTCCGATTGATCCATTCAGTAAAAAGGCCGTGGTCATTCCAGTTCGCAACAAAACATGTGGTCATCTCTACGACAAGGAAAGCTTTTTCAGCATGTTTGAGACTCGACCAAGGAACAGGTTAGTTGGGGTTTGTTCTTACAAGTACTCTATTTAACAGTTTTGTTTTCTGTTTAGCGCTCTGAAGTGTCCTTACACTGGATGTGCTAACCGAAGAGTGACCATGGAAGACATCGATGATGACCCTCGTATGCAAATTCTCATTGAAAACGCCCAACGCAATAAGTAACGAGTGGGTCCTATTTATCGTATTTGTTGAACTTTTTTATTACTATAAAATCACAGTCAATTCATTGACAAATAGATCTGTCCTTTCTCAAAACAATACTTGGATGCAAATTGAAATAAGTTTTGTCTACTAAATAGTAAAAACAGACAGCAATGGTCCATCAGACGTCCATCATGTCTAGTCTGGTGTAGTTTTGCGCGTCGCCATTCAACGAGCTGTACTGTGCACTTCGGTGGCCTCGGTAGTGATTGCCGCTGTTGTACGGTTCATGCCTGCTCTTTCCATTGGGCTCAGAGTAGAAGCTGGGAGTGTAGGAGGAAGAGGCGTAAGGCGACAGAGACTTGGGCGCCACTATTGCATTGGAAATGTGGTCATTGCTGTCGACGAATCTCAGGAGGAGGTTCGTCTCATCAGACTTATTGCGCGGGATTCCATTTATCTTTCCTTTGCTAACAGTGATAGCCTTGGTGGTTTTTGTCGGCAGTATGGGCTCGTTTCTTGCATCGATTTTTGCCTGAGTTAGCGAGAAAAGAATTTGAAAAGGTTTGAGACGAAATACGTTCAGCAACTGCTTACCTTGTTGTAGAAGAAAACGCCGAAAATGGCAAGGCCCATGCCGAATATGTTTGCCGGAGTCACTGGGTTCTTTAGCATCAAAATGGAGCAAGTAATTACGGCTATTCTCTTGGAAGCATTGCACACTGAATAGGTTAGTGGAGTGACTAAGGAAAGTACGGTGAAGGCAACGACGTTTTGGAAAAAATTGCACAACCCATCGACGAAAAGAAGGCCGCCAATGACCCAGCCGTCAAGACTGGAGTTTCGCTGGCCGTAGAGAATGTCCAACAGATCATGGTACACCCAAAAGGGAATGAACATTATCAAGGCATGCTTTGCTAGAACATGCAACAAGCGAAGATGATGAATTGAGGTGTCCTTTAGAACCTAAGAATCAAACGGAATGAATTAGCAAACAGGTAAAATCTAGCAATGAGATTGAGGGGTTAAAACCTTTTTGGAATATATGTTTTGTAATGAAAATACAAAAATGGAAAATAATGCTGATGTTAATCCTAAAATGTTGAACTCAAGCTCGGTCACAGAGGAGATGGCAACGCCGAGAATGATTGGAATCAAAGAAAGATAGACCTGAAAATGAAAAAAAAGGTGAAATTGATGTTAACATTTCATCGTGGATCCAGCTTACCTTGGTAGTTTGCTTCTCTCCGAACAGACACCTGGACAGGAGGACGACAAAGAGAGGCATGGACGCTTTAACTGAAACAGCAAAATACCGTTAGAACTTTAGCTGAGCACTAACACAGCAGTGCAGTGCTGCAGGTGCTACCTGTGTGGGCGTAGGACACCGGCACTGCGCCTAGGCTGACGTGAGAGGCTACCGAGGCGAAGAACTTGCCGAAAGCCAGTGGAATGATCAGCATGAAGTAGTAGCCCCAGGAGATGTGCGGTATTCGCCGAGCACTGGGCAGACATCGCAAGGCCGGTATGGAGTAGAGGGTGATGGAGAGGAACTGAACCAGCGTCACCGTGGTAGGGTACGCAAAGGACTGCAGAACCAGCTTCCCGACGACATTGTTCGCCGCGCTAGTCACGTACCAAAAGAGGCAGAGGATGACGACTTTGATGCCCAGATAAGCACTGGACATATTGGCGCATTACGTCAAACGAGTGACGGTGGTGCAAGGCGGTCGTGATCGGACTCGGTTGTGGAGATGATGGTGATCTAGGTCCTGGATGGAATCACTCCATAGAGGCAGAGGGTGGAAAACAAAGCTCCAGTAGATGATCACAAGTTGATGAGCAGAAGTGGGTGGGAGAGGTTGACCGGTAGGTGTTCATGTGCGGCTAGATATACAAATATAAATAAATAACAGATGACTTGTGCCAAGTTGGCGTTTGCGCTCGACGGTGGGGCAAAGAGCTAGCTGGAGTGATCTGCCAGGCTCTGCTCGGTCATTGCCCAAAGAGGGAACGGCGGTCGTCGGCTTCCTCGCTAACGTTCCGGTTGCCCACGTTCTGGTCAGCGTTGAGTTGTTGGTCCACGAGTCGTTGTACAGTCTACAGATGGGCAGGAGAGTGTTGTTCCATCCCAAGATTGTCATTTGACAACGTGTAATTTAGCGAGATCCAGTTATTCACGCAACTGCAGTCCACCAGGTGGACTTTGCTGCACTGCAGAAGCTGTTGGCGTTATGTGTGTCGTTATAGAGTGGTGTAACTGTCGTTGTTTGCTCTACCAGAGTTAGTAGCTTTTTTGGGGTTGTTTATCTTATCACTTCAAATCGCTCCCCCCCCCCTTGAACACATTTCTGAATCAGTGTGTCTTCTTCTCTTGAAACCAGTCAATGCCCTCCTCCTCTTCCCTTCCCCGCAGTCTGTCAGCCACTGTCGCCACGTGAGCATCCTCTCCTCAGTTGGGTAAACAACAGACTGTTTGGAAGAAGGGCAAAAAACGACGTAAACAAAAGAAAGTAAAAATAAAAAACATCTTAATGGGTACTTTGGCTGTGCCAGAATTCAAAGTGATTCTCTGCGGCGAGTACGGCGTCGGCAAGACATCAACGTTCAGACGATTTCTCAATGACTCCTTCGTGGACACGTCCAAAATGTCACTTACACAAACACGCCAAACAACTCTAGGTATGATGTTTCTATGCTTGTCTAGCAGACAATCCAGAACTGACCCGACTTATTACATTAGGCTTAGATCAGTACAGCAGAAGTTTTGAAGTGAACGGAAGTGGCAGCTTTCGGGAAATTAAAATTCAGCTGTGGGACACTGGCGGGCTAGAGCGAGTGGCCAGCATCACCAACTCCTACTACAAGTTCTCTGAAGCAGCACTGCTGGTCTTCAGCCTAGCGTCGTTAGAGTCCTTTCACAGTCTTTCCCACCACCTGCTGGAAATTCTGAGCATGGCAGAGAATGCCAAGATCTTCCTAGTGGGCAACAAAGTCGACCTGAAGCAGCAGAGAGAGGTGTCAGACGAAGACATTGACCTCTTCATGGAGCAGTTTCCCAAATTCAGTGGCTTCTTCAAAGTCAGCGCTAAAACAAATGAAGGCATCGTCGAAATGTGGTCTGACATCAGCGAAAAGCTGGCCGTCGGAAGCTACAAAGCCAATATTGGAGCTTTCAAACTTCACTCACCTGAGCTCAATGTAGGCGAGGAACCGGAAAGCAGTTCCAGCGGTTGTTGTTAATTTTTAGCATTTTCACACACTAACACCCCCTAAACATGCCAAAGTTTAACGCTTTTCAACAGATCACCAGATATTACGAAAACGTTTTTATTAGTTTTTTCGGTACTTAATTATATTAATGAGAATGTAACAAACAAAAGACTGCCCACAGAAAGCAGAAGCTGTTATCGACAAATGTACAGAAACTCAATAATAAAGCATTAGAAATGATCAATTAGAACGGTAACAGACTGCTGGTTAAAGTCATTGAAGTCGTTATTTGAAAGTCCTTCCTCATCGTTGATTGAGATGCTTCGCCATCCTGATGCCTCGCCTGTAACATTAATATAAAGTGCATTAGCATCAGGCTGCTGAGGAGAGAGAGGCTGCTGGAGTGAAAGCAGAGGTAATAACTTACCAGTACTGGCGTTCTTCGACTTGAGAGCCACTGACCAGCTGGCGTCCACGTCGATGCAGTGAGGCAGACGCAGCTCAACGGGCACATTAAAGTGCAGTCCACGAGGACCGCACATGACAATGGGACTTAACAGGGTTTCGCCTGTGGGTGGGAACAAAGTCACTTGTTAGTCGATTGACGCTCAAAGCGAGGGGTAGGGAATGCCTTACCTTTGGACTTGTCCAGTGGGGGCGCCAGACTGTGATCTTGACAGACCTTGAAGTAGATCTCCTGAGTCATGCCCGAGGGGATGGCATCAGGCGGAATGAGCAGACTGACGCCAGTGTCGTGGCTGACCAGCGTGCCGCCCTCACAGCCAAAGACACCCTTGGCGAAGGCAATGACCACTGCCTCGTCGGTGTGTCCGCCCTCATCACCGCCACCACCACCACCATTGTTACCACCACCAGCAACAGCGTTTAGGTACATCGGCGAGTTGGTGAGCTCGTCGAGGTTGCAGTAATTTGGTTGACTAATTTCACCACCACAAGACCCGGAAAGAAGGAGAGAGAAAGAGTTGCCCAAATGAGTTGAGGTTAGTACGAGGTTGAAGATTGGGGTGAAATGACAGGAGTGTGAAATGACAAGAATTGCAAGTGAGTGGGTTAGTTTAGCGTTAGTGATTACAGGAATAAGCAGTGTTAGTGTGTTAGCAAGGGAAATGTGTTAGCAAGCGCTTAGGAAAAGAAGAAGA